TAAAACATTTTGATTATATTTTGCTGGAAATTCGTTTACCATTCCGGCCTGTGAAGAATTGCAGTGAATCTAGATCTAACAGAGACTAGTTGTTGTTCTCCTAAACTCAACAGTTCTTTCCCTCGAGAGCTCTCCAAAACTGAGCGAGTCAAAAGTGTCTCCAAATCCTATGTCAAAACGGAGAATTTTCGGCGCGCGAATTAACAAAAAGCAAGCCCCCCTTCTACAGCGGGTTGGTGTGCACAGAATAGAGAACAGTAGGTGTAGTATCTTCCTGCGCTGAAATCAACCCCATGGCCGAGAACTTCTAAAAATGGTGGCACCCCGACGGGATATAATTCCCTAAAAAACAGAAGATGCACTTGAAGTGTTCAAGTTTCCGGTTGCACCTCAGGTTTCATGTTTCCTAATCGAAGCAGAAGCAGATCTCGAAAATATTAACTGTGATTACGCACAAAAGCGATAATCTTGCAAAAAAACGCTCTTATTGAAGTATCCTAATTCAAATGAAGTTAAAGGGACGCGTGGTCCCACAACGAAGTGGACGACTTGCGGACGTAAAACTCGTCCCCGTTTTTCCGGGTGTAGGTTTAGGCGGCAGTGATCGGCACTGCCCGTTCGTAGCTGCGTTCGTCTCTATAGCTTCGGGGCGCTGTTGTAATTGTAGCGCGTCGACGCGCACTACATCACATTACAGTGCGTCGTCGCGCGTTGCGCCGCATTACGGATTTCAGATTTCGCCCATTTCACTATCGCTGGCGTCGATCGCTCTGACCGCGCGACCTAGCTGCAGGAGCAATTACGAATGCATTCCGAGTGTGAGACGTCTACCTCTCTGCATTTCAGATTCTACTTCATGACACTTTTTGGCTCTGAAATATTCATTATTGCATGTGAGGGGTTTATCTCTATTTCGCGATATCTTGCATTTTCTCGAGACGATATAATGAGTTGGAGTATCAGTTGTGTTTGGAAGTGGCTATTTGGCATATTGTTAATTTCTGCCACCTATGCTGCTACTTTCTTCTTCTGCCCATTTGAGGTGAGTTTCCCGAATAGTGTTCCTATGTAATCCTGTAGTTAATAACTGTTTTCCCGTTCTAACTGGCCATGAGACGGCGAACTAGATAAGGCGTAGCACCAGTCAAAAAGAAGCACCACTTGAGACCAAGGCGCCATTTTTATTGACTCTTGTTGTTTATTGCCACTTATCTGCTCTTATCATTAGGTATCACTTTCTACCAATCACTACCCAAAACCCTTCAAGCCTGCTAGCTCTAGTTCGCTGTGGATGAAGGGGCGTGTCAGGCAGTGTGTGTGTGTGCCAAGCCTGTTCTCTGGCAACTGTTGAAGCAGGCATGCGGCAAGAACAGCTAGAAAGCGAGTGACACGAACAATATGTTACATTGTCTGCCTTGTCCTTGTCACTTGCTCGCTTTAACAACTGGTGAAGTTGGGCACAGCGCCGAACTCATCCCTCCTGGCACGCCCCCTTCGTCCGCATCTAACTGAACTATATAACGTATTCCAAACAAGGTGCTCCTTTGGTGATACAGATGACATTGACGCGCTCAGTTTTGGCGCTAACATAAGGCATAGAATGAGCCCTTTCCACGGCGTTTTCGTCACTGCTCGTTTTCTTTCTAAGTCGATCATCGATCGATTCCAACTGGCAAGGGAGGCGGCTCTGGTCTGCCCTCTGGCACCGCCCTAAATGGTTGGAAGATATCAGCCATAGTTGGTTTCTATTGCCACTTATCTGCCCTTATCACTGGATACCACTTCCTGTTTCCATATCCATGGCCCGTCGTACTTTCTGTACCACTTTACTTGTCTCGAACTGGCTGAAACAGTATTGCTGCGACGCGTAGAGTAGTACTATTATAGTTCCTCTGACAGCTCAAAACACTTCAACGTTTCCTGAACGGTTCAGACGTATTTAAGCGCCGACAAGAGAACCGTGAGGTTCTCTTTTGGCGTCAATGCTGTCCAATGGGTCAGTGCTTCGATCTTCATTCCCTTCACATTGGCTACCGTATCGTTCTTCTCTTGCGTGTACTGCTATTACAAGGTGGCCACAATCATCAAAGCGTCAAGTACGGTAAGTCCAAGGGAAAACGGCACTCGTGTCTGCATATGTAAGTACTGTCATGATCCCTGCAAAAGGTGGGGATGTGACGGGGGCATATTCTAGAGTGAGGAGTTCTCAGGCTGCGTTCAATCTTTGCGGCAGCGTTCGCCAGCAAACGATAAGCGTTTCAAGCGTCCGTCAGCATCAACGACCAGGAATATAAATATACCTATCAACGACAGCGTCAACCACCTTCCGCCGGCGACCATCAGAGTCTCGAGGGGCCGGGAAAGTAGGGGTATCAATCTAGCGTCTACCGCATCTCTTCTTCTTCTCCCTAGCGTAGTAGTCCGCGCGAAGTCCAGGTCGCTGTTCTTGTTAGACGTCGCCACTTGTTCCGATCCACTGCATCTTCTGCCGTGGCTTTCACTTCAGTGAGGTCCTTCTTGATGACGTCCCTCCATCTTTTCTTTGGGGCTCCTCGTGGTCGCTTGCCCTCTGCTTCGAATTCCAATGCCTTCCTTATTGGGTGGTCCTCAGGCCTTCTCAGCACGTGCCCATACCATCGCAGTCGCTGCTCTCGTGCCTTCAGCTGGATCGGAGCCGTCTGTGTGATCGCCCTGACGTCCTCGTTTCTGACTCTGTCGAGTCGTGTCCAACCGCAGGCCCATCTCAGCATCCTCATTTCAGCTGAGTGGAGCTGCCTTTCATGGTTCTTGCAGATGGGCCAGCACTCACTGCCGTAGAGCATTGTAGGCCTTACCACCGCCCGGTACACCTTGCCCTTGAGCGTTCTCGAGCACCGCCGGTCGCACAGGATGCCAGTGGACTCCCTCCATTTCATCCAGGCTGCGTTGATTCGGGTCTTCACCGCCTGGTCCACGCTGCCATCAGCTGCTAGGTCGCTCCCCAGGTACTGGAAGTCCTCGACCCTTTCGATGCTCTCGCCATGGCGGTCTACGATGAGTTCGGTGCACTCTTCGGAGCTCAGGAACTTGGTCTTCTTCACGTTCAACCGGAGTCCATTCTCAGCGAGCACATCCTGCCACCGCTGCACCTTGTCCTGGAGTTCCTCCCTGCTGTCCGCTATCAGGGCGATGTCGTCAGCGTAGAGGATGGTTTTCAGTGGTCCCTCCATGAGTTCTTTTGCCATGACATCTAGAGTCAGGAGGAAGAGGAACGGGCTGAGGGCTGATCCTTGGTGTACCCCAACCGTGATGTTTACCTCTTTCGTCAAACCGTGCGTACAGCTGCTTTAGCCCCATCGTACATATCCTTCACTATGGAGACTAGGTGCTCCGGAACGTTACGTTCTCTCAGCGCTCTCCAGAGTACAGGCCGAGGCAGGCGGTCTTCTCAAGGTCCAGGAAGGCTAGGTAGCAGGGTCGCCGCTTCTCTCGGTACTTCTCCATCAGCTGTCTGGCGATGAAGATGGCGTCAGTGGTGGACCTTTCGGGCATGAAGCCGAACTGTTCCTGCGAGATAGGGACAAGTTCCCTCAGCCTAGTGTTGACCAGGCGCTCGTACAGCTTCATGGTATGGGGAGTCAACTTGATGCCGCGGTAGTTGGAGCACTCCGTCGCGTCCCCTTTCTGTTTGAATGAAGCGATGCGGCTGCTCCTCCACGCATCTGGCATCCTTCCTTCAGCCGTCACGTTGTTTAGGAAGTCTGTTAGCCAACTCACCCCCAGCTCCCAGAGCCGTCCATGCCTCTATCGGTACCCAGTCTGGACCCACTGCTTTCCCAACTTTCATTCTCCCTAGCTCACGGCGGACTTCATCCTCTGTCCAGGGAGTGATGGGGCCTGCCGTCGCCTCTATCTGTGGGCTGTCCTTGCGGGGAATTCTTCGTTCAGTAGTCCCTCGAAGTATTCTTCCCACCTCTTTCTGACTTCGGCTGGTTTCCTGAGAATGGCCCCGTTGCTGCTCTTCACAGTCTTTACGACCCTGATGTCCTGAGCGCGCGATGCCGAGCTTTAGCCAGGCGGAAGACGAACTTGTCCCCTTCTCGGCCTTCCAGCTTGTCGTACAGGGGTCCATTTCCGTATTCTTGGCCTTAGCAAACGGCTGCCTTGGCGAGTCGCTTGCAGCTCTTGTAGGCGTAGTCTTCTGGGCTCCGTGTCTTTTGCCAGCGTTTGTATGCTTCCTTCTTCTGCTTGACGATCCTCTGGACTTCCTCGTTCCAGAACCAGGCTGCCTTGTCTCCTCTGATACCATCGCGCTCTCCAAGGAACAGGCTGCGTAGGTCCAGGTGTCCTGGACTGGTCCGTGTGGGTCTGGGAGCCCAGCCTCCAGTATTCTTCGGCCGAGGCTATCCTTTTCTACCTTGCGCATTTTCCACCACCGAATTCTTCGCTCTGCTCTCACCCTTGTCTTCTTGGGGAGGTCTATGGCGATGTCTGCCAGGAGAGGCCTGTGCTGAGGGCCCAGCTCTTCCCCAGGCAGTACCTTGATATCCTTGACGGTTTTGAGAGACGATCTTCTGACCAGGACATGGTCGATTTCCGTTTGTCCTCCACTGCTGTAGGTTACCTTTTGGGTCCTCCTTTTCGCGAAGAAGGTGCTGCAGATTGCTAAGTCGTGGGCTGTTGCTAGGTCAAGGATTCGTCCTCCCTCAGCGTTCTTTGTCCCTATTCCTTGACCTCCGTGCACCCTTTCTAGACCCCTTCTGTCCCTCCCAACATGGCCATTCAGATCTCCAGCTATGGTGAGATAGTCCTCTTCCGGAACCGATCTTATGGCCTCGTCCAGGGTCAGGTAGAACTCATCCTTTTCCGCCTCGGAGCAGCCGGATTGTGGTGCGTACACGGTCAGTACGGTCCAGTACCCTTCCTTCGTGTCCATTCTCACTCCCATGATCCGATCACTGATTCTGTTCACAGAAGAGACGCAGTCCTTCAGGGATTCTGCCACCGCTATGGCCACGCCATTCCGTTTGGTGTCTGCTCCATTGTAGAAGAGTTTGACGCCTTCTCCAATCTCGCGGGCCTTCGCACCCTTCCATCGCGTTTCCTGAAGGCATAGGACTTGGATATTCCTTCGTCTCATGAGGTCGGCAACCTCACGAGAGACTTCCCGGTAGGCGACCCCACGTTTCAGGTCCATTTCGAATAGCTTCTCTTTAGCGAGGTCATTCACCCTGCGATAGCTGCTGCATGCTGACCCCAGAACTCGGGCGAGTGTTCTGTGGCGCTACTTCCGGTGACGTCAGCGTCTACCGCCATCTCACAAGCGTCTATTAAGCGTCAGTAAGCGGCACCAGCATCTTGGAGGTATTAGGAAAATATGGGTATATGTCGAACATATACATCGTCTAGTCAGGCGACGCACGCAGCGTCGGGAGAACGAATTATAGTTAGTTAGTACGGTCAGCCAGTTTCGGGACAGTTGGGGACATCTTGCACTTTACAGTGCTTCACTACTTCGGTTTAGCGAAGTCTCACTTACTGGTGGAACTTGTGAGGTTTTGCTGAAGCTGGAAGGCTGTCGATAACATGGTAAAAACTTGTCAGACCACAGAAAGGCTGTCTGGATGTGTCGACACATCGATGGGAAGAAAAACGCTTTCCCTCCCCCTTCCGTCGCCAAACTGCGCCGTACGTTGCGCCTGCACACGCCAACAATTCTACCGGAGCCGATATCAGCTGCTCCTTTCTCCAGCTTCTCCATACTCTACAGCAGTCCTAGCTGGTCCTATTCCCATATCCAAATCGCTCGGACTGCTGTGACGCTAGATTGATATGCAGATATCCATTATTTACTGCCACTCTGTGGATGTCGCCAGCGGACGATGGTCGACGCTGGTAGACGCTCGACGCCGCCATTTGCGATCGATATCTATACTTTTCTAGTAGCTACGCTGGAAGGTCTGAAGCGGTGATGGGTTGCCTGTCCGCGCAGAACGTATGAATGCTCCTGCTCTATCGGCTCAGGAATGGCATCATGCAGTGAGGAAGGGCGCTCTGGCTCGACTGAATCTCGCGCGCTCAGCACGCCTGATAGTGTAGCGAGGAGTGTCGTATCTAGGGCGCGAGAGTTCTGAGTAGTTTATCGAGTGAAAGCGAGTTCTTGAATTGATAAGCACATCATTCCCTTTTAAGGGCCTAACAAGGAAGATAGTGGCAAGGATGTGCTTGTCCTCGACGCTATATATTGCTGTTGTATGAGAAGAGGGGGGGAGGAGGACAAGCAATACAACTACGTCCTCAGCACTATCGGTATTCTACCTATTTGAGGCGCATTTTTTGTCTGTTATTGTACGACATTGGCAAACATACTGTGTCCCATACTGGCTTCGGAATCGATGCTTATGCCTTTCTCTTGTGTTCTACTATAACGTGAAAGTAGTAGGTTCACAGTTCTTTGCTTACTTGTCGAGCACAATCTTCCAGGCTTCATTAAATTAGTATTAGGGTTGTTCGAGAAAGTCCTGGCGTAACTTTGACTGAATTGTTCTAAGGAAAAAGACGAAATAATATTTTGGAATGTTTATCTATGTGGAGATTGTCCTCTGGGTTTCTGTACATGGGGTATATCATGAGCTGATGAAGTTTCAAGCGTTAAAGTCCTCCAGATGATCGACGGACTTCTGACCTGTCCCATATTAATGAAATTCCTGGTAAGGGCACTTCGCGTAGTCAAGGAACTGACAACTACTTGTCTGCTAGGAGGGATTATGGCTTGCATGGCCAGATGAGCTTTTGGTCATCTCGCTATTACTGGACTTTCACTCATAGTTAGGCAATGTATAGGTCGGCTCAGAATGACGTGTGCATTTTCTCAGCTTTTTTGAGGCAGCGCTCTGACGTAACCACCGGTAAGTTGGCGACCTCTCTAGGCTCCATCTGACTGACAACTGCCATGCTTCTCCTCAATCTCGGTTATCGGAAAAAATTTTTTGTTAAGGATGCCTCATAGACTGACAAGTCATACCGAATGACGGTGACTGGAAGTGGTTTCTTCCTTGTACAGCAGCGGTAGGAACTTTTTTGTGAGATCTGTGGTGCGAGTTGGTGGATCCTTGCGTACATCAGGCACATATGCCTTGGGCAGGATCTCTCCCAAATAAAAAGTAGTTGCTTAGCCAAAGAGAAGATGTGCATGGGATAAAGATTTCAGTGTGTTATTGGTGGGACTTCCAAGCGGTATCACTGGATACCAGCACCGTTGTAAGGACCACAGTCCACCTTAATCGACTTCAAAATATGGATGACGTCACGCTTGAATTCATTCAGAAATACTCAATTTTCTACTACTCGGTAAATGCGAGATACGCTTATGGGGATTCAGGTTACGCCAAAAGATCATGCATTTCGATCAGAGAATGCGACCGTACTCAGGTTATTTAACAAAGTTAGCAGCCTCTAATTACCACCTCCTTTGGTCACTATCGCATCCTTCACAAAGCAAAAGTTCCGAAAATCAACCTCAACTCGAGAATGAGGTCCACCTCTTCTTTTTACCACAGTTGCCGTAGTTCTATGAGAATGGAAATGAGAAGCTGTGCAAAAAGGGCACTAGTTCGCTAGTAGTCAAATGGTAGTTTGAGATGTCTTTACTGACCAGAAATTTGAGTTTCGAAAAAATGTGGTCAAGTGTTCGCAGGATGCTTTATCGAACAACCTAATACCTTAATGTTCATCTCCAGGCGAAAGACCTCATCCTTCTATTGTCCTGAAATTGTTTGTGCACTGGATACTATTTGGGGAGCCTCTAGGCATGGATGCTGAAAGCACCTAAGCACGCCAGTTGCAGCATCGGGATCGTGTGAAATGTGTGTGCAGTACCACCCCCCCTCTGGAACGAGGTGTCCGTAGAATCCTGCCCACATATAATGAGAAAAGAGTCGGAACCCCACCCCTTCTCAACACCTACCTACAGAATCCATATTTTCCGAGTTTTTCACCCAATTTTGGCTCTTGAGCGGGGGGGGGGGTGGATGTAGTAGGATATATAGTACTCACGAAATAGGACAAAATCACGAAACGACAGCAACCGGGAAAAGTTTTTCCAACCGGCGAATTTCTCTCGAAGACACATAAGACCCTCTTCCCTCTCCGAACAACGACCAAACACGACCCTTCCTCCCCAACGGTAAAGTACGACCCCCCCCCATGTCTTTCACACAACGATGCTGTACCCTGACCCCGAATGAAGGGATAGCTCGACACCTTAATAAGTGCGATTACCAGATTGCTTCACCGCGAAAGCACCTGATGCTTAGGCACCAAAACTGCCGCCGCTTAACAAATGCTGGTGTTTGTGACCGTACAGTAAGAACTCTGCTTCAAGCAAATGCAGCATTCGTGCTCGGGGGACAAGGAGTTTTTGGGGTAAGCTTTTGGCTGAATTCTCGCTATCAGTATATTTTGATCAAAGTGTAGCTTGAATGCTGAAGACTCGGCCGAAAAGTCTGATAAAAAGGCGACTGGCCGCAGACTAGGATTTTGACTCGCATGGGAGGAATTAGGGTTCTGAGCTGCCTCCCAACCACATGCATCAAGCCAACTCCGCTTGTAAACGCCTGGTACGTTGTACATTCTTACTGATGGAGTCAATGCAATGGCGATTTCAGTCTGGATCGCATTCTGGAGAAGATTCTCGAGTTACCAATAACCTCCGTAAGTTTTCATGCTAAGAATCTTCCATAGATCCTATTTTGTGAGTAATATAGTAAGGCACTAAAGCCGGCAGATGTCCACGAACGATCGTACATCTACACTACCTTACTTGTTACGCCGAAACCGATAAACCTTCTATATTTGGGGGGCGCGTGATAAAGTGATGTTAGGACTGAGTTATTGGTTCTTTTATAACGATGGGAGATACTTGCTGATTACCAGTGATAGGGAGTGATGATTGTATACATATTTGCAGGCATTTTGATTGGTACATGTGGAAATCCGTGGATTCTTCTTGCACTCTTTCCCATGGTGTGTAAATTACCGTATGCCCGTATAATTAATGTGCAATTAATAAGCCTTTTCAGGTAAGAAATGAGGCTTTTCCGTGTTTCAACTACAAGAAGCCAACTCCTATCGTCGCTGTTGCCACAACAACGTAAACCTGATCCACCTCCTTTACATGACCCATTTCATGATAATTAAGGAGTATTCATGTTGCAACTTACTAGACGAATAGCTCCATTGTGATTGAACTAATGCAAAAAAATTTGTACTCGTCGATGCTTTAAAGGCAATTCCGGCGACCAACATTTCTAGGTGATAGAGTTCAAAAAAAGAATATGCGCACGTGTGTTGTAGAACTCACCAAGAAAAGAGGAACTCTAAAACCGCCCGCAATAGGCGCTCTCTTTATTGCTATTGTCGTGATCACCGGACGAGCATAAGATGATCAAGATCAATTGTGGTCTGCAAAAGGCGACGATACAGTGACTGGAGAGGAGAGGGACCAGAAAACGGCCGGTGAGAGAGCACAGTGGCATCTTCACTATGACACGTTCGACGCAGGCCGGCATGGGCCTATTGGGTGCCAATGGGCCTAAAATCGATGCGTTTTGCTTTCTGGTTGCTAGTTTTCGACTTTTTTGTACAGTACAGCCTCTGCGGGTGCCTACCTGTTCACCCTGCACAATCCAGAGGTTTTAGCCTTAATTTATCGCGAACCGTGCCTTTAAAAGGAACACAGTACATTTCGAAGAGACAATAGCGAACTGCTTCGCAGTGATGGGCCCATATTGATGTTGCAGTTAGAGGCGATGACATGACTGAAGCACCGTTCAGACTCCGCGATGACACTCTGTAACGTGCTACAACGCGCGCCTACGAGCTACCCTTGCAGCCGGGCTCCAATACTTCGATGAGAACACAGCCGTAGAACCAAAAAACCTAGTTTAGAGAGCAATCACAGTGTAAGTCAACCACTCACTATAAAAACTGTACACACGTCCAGGGCAGGCCAACTCTCGTTGCACTACATAGGTGCCAGAAATTATTGTGTATCCAATGTTTTCATAAAAAACACAAGTCGTGCCTTCTATAGGTTCAGGATCCTTCATCTTATATTTTTTTATCATTATCAATATTGTATTTGTCTGTATTTGTTGGGAAAGAGTTGAAGAGCAAACCATTCCAAAGTTGAGGAGCAAACCACTTCAAACAATTGGTGTCCTTTTCACAGGAAATCTTTGCTAAACTATAGTGTACTTAATTATTAGATGGACCACGCGTTGTACGAGTATACTAAGGACTGAACTATAGAATGAATATGAGAAACTAAACAAAAAACCATGCACTGGTGAAAGATATGGATTTGTTGATCGTGATTCGTATACAATTCACGCGGTCCCACGTGGCCTACAAAGCGTGCATTAAGTGCGTATCACGCGGTCGTCAATGTGTTAAAGAGAGGACAGCAATTCAGGAGCGTACCAGATGGGATGATCGAGAAAAGGGGACCTCCTGTCGCTTCCCTCATTTCGTTATTCTGCCATAATTCTCGAAGCAGTACGGCTGCCGCTGATCGATACTAATTCTCCGTCTGTGGCACTGATGCTGTCCTGTCAATGGTAGCACGTTGACGCGATACAGCGCAAACAGCGCGTCATCGCAGAGTCTGAGCGCTACCTACGCACACTATCGCGGGTAGCTCCAGCAAGTCGCAGCAGTCTGCGCGATCCCAGGTCCTACACTGCTGCTACCGGTCTTTCTTTCATTTCTCTCTTTCAGAGGTTCGCGGCACTACGAGACCCGCCACAACTGACTTTATTGCCTTTGTCCTCCACATCTTGGAGATGTAAGAGGACGTGGCTGCATACCTCAGAAGACTGTAATGTGCTTTTAGTGGAGTGTTGCCGTTCTGGATCAATTGCAGTTGCGTCCCAAGCACTAGGTATTATGACAGCTTTCTCGAAGAAGGTAATTCACGGAAAAACAAATCAGGTTTTGGTTGTAGCTCATCATTTAGCCTACCACCACACCGATAGGCAGCTTGTGACGCTTCTTCCTCTGCGGGCTTTCAGGACAAGTAATGCAACTGCCTCAATAACATAATTACGGTTCCAGTTTGGAAAAGACGTGGGACAACCTCGGAAAAAGACAAACGTCAGAAACCTACTCAGTGAATTTGACGCCTTCCAACTGCTCGAGGATCGGACGAGAGTAACTACTATCAGGATTACGCAGCTGTGGATTACTGAAGAGAGTGTTGTTCATAGGAGCCTTCCTTCTAGTGTTGTTGAAAAGAAGGAGGGTGCTGGTGCAGGAGTACCCCGAATGCGTGGTGCAGGAGTACCCCAATGTCCTTCACAAGTTATAAGTTGAACTACCCACGCACAGACTTGCAAGTTTAGCGAGACTGTCTCGACGTTCGTTATTCGCGGCGCGTTACGTGTCATCGCACTTTTTGATAGCAAAGAAAATAGACCTTTCGGAAGCACTTCTTTAATGTGTCAGACTTTTAGTGGTCTGCTGGAGCCCATGCAGTAAAAAAATAAATGGCACAGTAGAAGATACTGAAAGCTGTGTAGGTGAACATGGACTTTCGCCCTCCCAATGCGGCGGAGTGGTGACGATTTTGAAGCATGTGTTGAATGCTTCTGAAGTATGTGTTGAAGCTCTCTTCAGAAAAGTGTGGCTTTATTTTTATTGATTTGCAAATGTCTGTTTACTTCTTCTTCTTTCCGCCAGCACACCAGCACATTCCGTGTCCAGCGAAAGCGAACACCTCAAAAAGGAGTAAGTAGTGTGGAACAAATGTATTCTTATAAAATGGAACGTCTTCGCTCTGAAAAACACCCGAACTTATACCTCCACTGATTAAGAGCCGAAGATCGTTCTATCTAGGTTTTTCAAAATTCGTAGGAGTCAACGTACCAGGAGAAGGGCGAACAAGCTACACAAAGACAATGCTTTCATGATCGTACCGGAATACGTATGAGTAAGAGTCGTGAGTTGAGAAGGTGAGCGAAACCAGCGGTTCTTCTAGTGGGTGTTCCCTTTTATGCGATGAACCTCATCTGCCAAACGCTGGCTCCTAATGGTTGTTAAATGATCATTTCCATTAGGTGATCACTAAAAACGTCCATTAGGAGCCATCCGTATGATAATCGTACCAATTTTGATGTCTTTCAAAATAGTCTCCTTATCGCAAAATGTTGCATAAGCATATCAGCAAAAAATGTTGCTAAAAGCATCTCGTCAAATTGTGGCTGAATCCCTTCTCCCTTATGGGCAATGGAAGGGCATTTTGGCAAACTTGATGGATGATTATGAGTGCTGTGTCCCTCACGTAAATCGTACGCGTATGCGTGACATTTTTCTGCATTGCTCAAGGAGAAAAGCTGCCTGCAGAACTGTAACAGACAGAAGAAATTTTTGCTGTATTGCTGATGGCACTCAAATGTGATAGCGTTGGATACTCGGAAGCTCAGTTTCTTCCTACTGCCCAACAATTTGCACTCGCGCACAGTGGAGACGACGCGTCGAAAAATCATTTGTTTCGGTCAGGGAATACAGCGAAACCGTCTTATTTATCACGCTTTATACCTTTTGACTACTTGGGACCGGCGCTATGAATTTCGTGACAGACAGACAGACGCACACACACACACACACACACACACTTACAGACATACTTAGCGGATTATATATAGTAGGATTCACTGAAGCGTTCCTCCAACGTGCTAGAATTGCCCAGTTGGTTCGC